AAAACACACATCATTGTAAAATCGATACATTCATCACTTCGTTCAGAATCTAAAACATATTTACATATATCACTCGCGTGCGATCATCACACTTATACACGCTCTTGCGCCGAGTGGTAGGGTAGTAAAGATATATAATACAATGTTGCCACAGCGCATTTCGCTTTGTTGGACCGAAAATCGACATAATTATTATTTGTTAGTACCTAAATAATAAATATCAAATCAGTAAAATCTATTTTTATTTTTTATATCTTTATCACAAATTTATATGAAAATAATATTGAAGACTGTCTACAATAGTACAATATGTCGATACCTATGTCAATATAATACCTACAAGGCTACAACAGTATATCTACAACAAATATTGTATACAAACTACGTCTGTACTCTGTAGTTCTGTACAGATAATTAGGTAGGTACCTATTTAAGTACCTGCAACTTGCCTACATAGCAGGTAGGTGCCGAAATTTAAATTATAAATTGTATTATGAATTATGATATACGATGGCAAACAGGAATTTCGTATAAATGTAAGCCATCGTGTTATTTTCCTGAGATTAAAATATTTTTATTGGTAACACACTAAAAATCCATTAAAAATACATATTATACTTAAATAGATGGCGCTGTATTCCAATAATTCAATACACATATGCACACTCACACATACGTTTGTATTCTGTGTAGGTATTATTTATAAATAATAAAATAATAATATCTTCATTATAGTTAATTATTCATTAGACATTAGTTATTACTAATTACAATCATTTACTAAATTACTTATTAGTTATTAATTATTACTTAGGCAGTGTTTCCCAAAGAGTATTTTATTATTATTATTCACCTATGTTTGAAAAGTAGTTAATATTTATTTAACATGTGAGGTGACTTGTAATAACTTATATGGATAACCCGCGATGGAAWAAAAAAGTTTGGGAACCACTGAGCTTTGCCTATTTGTGATGAAAACAGAAATGATTTAATATAAAYACCAAGCAAACTACGATAAAAGTGTAAAACCTAATATGATTAACAGAATGTTATCACAACTCACAAGTAATAATATTTAAACTCCGGAATAGAAACTAGAAAAATTCATTTAACCAGACTAAATGATAAATGTGAAAAAAAATTCTAATTACAAAAGAAGTTTATAAGCCATCAGGCATAGTTRGTGCAAAATCAATGTGCAATTTAATTTCTTTTAAAGGGGAAAGAAAAAAGT